AAACTTTTCTATTCAAGCATGAAACAATAGAAATTATTAGAGAAGATCGAATTAATGCAACAATAGAAAAAAGATATAATGAAATTATAGATCAAATAGAAGACGAAGCATTACAAGAATCTGAATGGTCATTCGTCTGAGCAGAAGAGATATTTCTTGAAATAAGTACATTCAGACCATTGCAAGGTAATAGTTATCTACCTTTACCAGAAGCTTTAGATAAGCTACAACTAGGAATAATTAATCTACAAAATAAGGATAATAATGAGTATTTTAAATGGTGTATAAGTGCATATCATACAAAGAGGAAGCTATAAAAGCTAATAGAAAGCTACCACATTTTAATAAAATTTGGAGACTTAGATAAAATACAAATATAGCAAATTTTGAAGGTATAAAATTTTCAGCAACACTCCATGATATAGATAAATTTGAAGAAAGCAATCTTAATTATGCTATCAATATATTTAAACTATTTTATAGAGAAGCTTTTAGAAAAATAAAAGTAGATATAGATCCATTACATATTCTGAATGTAATTATCAAGTAGAGCATATGATAGATTTATTATATTTAACAGAAGGTGAAGAGAGTTTAAATGATCAAAAAAATCAAAATGATATACCAGAAAGCTTAAAAACACATTATGTATATATAACGGATTTTGAGCGATTAATGCATAAGTGAAATAACCATCATAATAAAAAATTCTTTTGCTGAAAATACTTGCGATTTCTATATAGTTGATTAGATTTATTATAGAAATATATTCTTACATGTCTAGGTTTAAATAAGGCTTCACAATGTTTAATTCTCCCAGAAGAAGGTAAGAATTATGTAAAACCTAAGTATATCAAAAACATGTTAATGAAACCTTATTTAATAACTATGGATTTAGAAGCCAAAGAAATTGAAGCAGATGAAAAAGATAAAGAAGAAAATACTATAAAAGAAGCAAAGCAAATAGCAGTTTCATATAGATATACTATTCATTGTTTAGATAGAACAATGCAAAAACTAGTGATTAATCGAGAATCAGAAAATATAATAAAAGACTTAATAGAAAACTTTCAAGAAGATCTAGAAGTTATTTTAGATAAGCTTTATGAAATAGCTCTATGTAAAAAAATAATATCTGAATTATGGTGAAAATATCAAACTGCAAACAAATATTGGATATGTGAAGAAAAATTACATGAAGCTAGATATAATAAAATTCATGTATTCAATCCTAAAACCAAAAAATATTTGGGTGCTTCGCATAGAAAATATCACGAGAAAAAATTAATGATTCAAGGTAAGTTAGATGATGAGCAAAAAAAAAAACATAAATCTTGTAAGATATATTTGTATTGCAAAACGCATTTACTAGATGAGGAAAAAAAATAGAGTAATAGATCATGACCATATTACAAGAAAGTTTGAAGACCAGCTTATAGTAGATGTAATTTAAAATTACGAATCGATTCAGAAATAATAAAAATCTCTGTACTAATTTGTAATGGAAGTGGTTATAATTTCTATTATCTTATGCAAGAAATAGCAAAAGTGATAGATGAAAAAATAGTGCTGATAGCAAATAATTCAGAACAATATATTACTTTCTTAGTTAGTCAACTTCAATTTATTGATAGTTTAAAATTTTCATTACCTGGTTTAGCTAAGATAGCAGAAAACTTATGTGATGAAAAGAAGAGCCAAACTAAAACACCAGAACAATTAGCAAAATGTTTTCTAATTATGTCAAAATTTATCTCATCTCATTTATTATTATTGCTTATATGTAAAGAAATATTCCCATATCAGTAGTTAACTAGTAAAAACAAATTCAAAGAAACACAACTACCTCCTCGAAAAGATTTTAATAGTGACTTAGATGGAGTAAATTATTGCGAGCAAGGATATGAAAGCAAAGAATGTGAATATGAGAAAATTTACACAATAACTCAAAAAGACTACGATTTTGCTTATATAGTTTGGAAAGAAACTGCTTGTAAAACCTTTAGTGATTATCATGATATTTACCTCAAAATAAATGTTCTTATATTAGCAGATGCATTCGAGGCATTTTGAAAAGCATCTTATTCAGCATTCAAATTAGATTCAGCAAATTATTTAACCGCACTAGGTCTTGCATAGGATACATATATGAAGGTAACAAAGGTAAAATTAGAATTATTTAACGAGCATCAAGGAGATATGCATGACTTCTTTACTGCAATGAAAAGAGGAGGAATATCCTTAGCTAGAAGATATATAGCTAGAGCAAATATTCCTGAATTAGAAGGGTATAATAGAAAAAAAGCAAAAAAATAGCTGTTATATTTAGATGCTAATAATCTTTATAGCTAGGCAATGTCTCAATATTTACCAACTAGAGGATTTAAATAGCTATCAACAAAACCTTTGGAAGCATTCTACCCTTTAGTGCAGAAAATTTTAAAAATAAAAGAAAATTCAAATCGAGGATGTTGTTTAGAAGTTAAGTTATCGATTCCAAAAGAATTACATCCCAAATTTTGAGACTATCTAATGTATCTAGAACAAAAGAATATACTATATAATGGTATAGTTCAAAACAAAAAGAATGAGCAGGTAAACAACATTCAGATACAGAAAAACTTATACTAACTCTCTATGATAAGGACTATTATGTTATTTATTATAAAAATCTATAATAATGTATAAAGAAAGGATATGTTCTTGAAAAGTATATCAAATTCTAGGTTTCAAACAATCATCATAGTTAGAACCATATATTGCAATGAATACTCAACGATGTGCAAAAGCAAAGAATACCTTTGAAAAAAATTTCTGGAAATTAATAAATAACTCAGTATTTGAAAAAACTATAGAAGATGTAAGAAAATAAGTGAATATAGATTTAGTTAAACAGGTAGGTGAAGAATGGAGGTTACGTAAATTAATATCAGATCTAGCATTTGTTAGTAGAAAAATTTTTTATAGAACAAATTTGGTAGTGATACATCGAAGACAAACTAATATAAAACTAAATAAGCCAGAATATATTAGAGCATGTATTCTTGATCTTTCTAAATACTTTATGTATGACTTCTGATATGGATATCTCAAAAAGAAGTATGGTAATCGAGTAAGACTTTTATATACAGATATAGATTCTTTAATCATAGAAATTAAAACTGAAAATATTTATCAAGACATAATTGATAATTGTAATTTATTTGATTTTAGTAACTATCTAGAAGATTATTAGGTAGTAAAAAATCTTCTAGAAGATCAATAGATAATTAATGAAGGTGAACGTGTCTTAAAAAATACAAAAGTTATAGGTAAGTGGAAGGATAAAAATGAAGAAGATTATGCTATTGGCTATGCTAGAATTCGTATAAAATGCTATAGTGTTATATGTGAAAATTCATGAAAAAATATGATAAAAGCAAAGGGTCTTAAAAAAGCACTTATCAAAAGAGAACTTATTCATAAAATATTCAAAGACTGTGTTTTAGAGGGAAAAGAGGATCAATCATGAACTGCACAATTCCTTCAAAGTTACAGGTATCGAATGTATAGAATAAAGCAAACAAAGAGGAGCATTAACCTATTAGATATGAAATTGTGAATAGCTCATGATATGGAAACAATATATTTATATGGTGATTGTGAAATTCTGGAAGAATAAATATAGCTTTGCTTCATAACATTTTAATATATCTATCCACTATGTAACTACCTTTGACAATAATATATATATAATTTTTTACTTAAGCAATTATTAGCAAAAATAAAAATAAGATCGAGTGATCCCTCACCATACTAAATAATTCATGAATAAGCAGATCGCCAAATCCAAAATGAGATTTTATAAAATCTGCAAATTAGTTTGTCAATACAGAAATATATTATAAAACAAAATAAATGAATAATAAATTTCAAAGACTTATCTAGTTAAAATTTGAGTAAATGTATTGATTTAGATATTATATCTGTTTATTTTTTAGCTATCAAATAATTTTGGGTAGTAAAAAAATAATATATAGTCAGATAAGTATGAATGATAAGAAAAATTTTCATTATTAACCAACTCATCATAATTTATACTATGAATAACGAACTACTTAGCAAAAGAGAACTTATCAAAAAATACCTCAAATGAGCAAATTTATTAAAAGCCTTAGAAATAAATATCTTAAAAAGTCATCCAAACTCTCTCGCAAATAATATTACAATACTGGAGCTAGAGAATTGTCATGAATATAATAAAGAAATTTTGTTAAATCCACCCAAAGCATTTACCATGCTCATATGTGATCATATACTCCATCATGACTATCTTGAAAAAAGTAATAGAGATAAGCAAAAAACTTGTCCTATTTGTTTTGTAGATAATAAAGGAATAGCATTAGCTGAAGTTCAGAATGTAGATATGTCAGTGGCAGTAGAAGATGAAGATGAAGAAACCTCTAATCTAATGGAAGCAGTAAGTAAGTTATCCGTAGATAGTAGTAAAGCTATCCTACAAAGTGAAACAAAATCCATAGAACCTGATAAAGTACAAGGTTTAATAAAAGAACTATCTATACCAAGTGAACTGATTGATGATAATGATAGAGAAAATAAGAGCAAAGAATCAAAACCAATAACTTTACTCCAGTTATACTATAATGCAAACCGAGCAGAAAAACATGTAACCTGTGCCTACTAAGAAGAAATAAGATGCTGGTATCTGTTTGCTAAAAAATTTGAAGAAAGAGTTAAAGAAATAAAAAATGATAACAGTAGATACAATGATCAACAAGCTAGAGGGTTAGTATATGGCGAAGTCGTAACTAATCTTCCGGGATTTACAAGAGATAGTTTGCATAAAAAAACTGCAAAGGCTAGAAATATCTACAAGTTGTTTGGAGAAAGTTATGACCCCGATACCAAAAAAATAGTTAAGGGAATAGGAATTGAAAAAATTGAGAGAATTCGAACATATAGTGCTGATTATATTTCAAAGCTCAATTCTACACAAATTTA